TTTTAAAATCCAATGCCTTAGAGTATTCTAAAAGAGGAGGGGAAAGAGAGGAAGGTGGGGGAACATCTGGAAGGGCTAGTAAATTATTAGAGAACAGAAGATTAGCAGCCTTTGGAGAGACAAAACCTATGAAGACAGGAATAATCCATGAGACGAAGAAAGGGCAGGACAAATTATACAACCACCTGGTAGAGTCTATCCCTGGCGAGATCCCTTGAAAAAAAAAATGTTTATTTTTTTTGTAATTGGCTCTTGAAGAAAGTATTAAAACATTCATTACCGGCAACAGATATTATAATCGTAATTGTTCTTTTTCTTAGTCATTGTGAGCGAGTTGATATTATATTTCTCAACGAAGTTTCTAATATATCATAATCATAAAGGCTACAAAAAAAACACATTCTGTTCTTTTTGCAGGTATATCTACTATATTGCCTGCATGAGAGTATTGATACATGTATTCTCTTTTAATGTAGTTATTTTGCACCCATGTCGACACATGTTAGACAATAATTTTAGAGGCGTGCTTTTTCCCTACCGTTAGGGCCAATCTGGTAGACAGGAACACAACGTCCTGGCTCTAACTCTAGCAGAAAGACTGAGTTACTTGATAAAAATTGCCTCTCATCAGGCTCTATAAAATTATCAGCCTTATTTAAACAGTAGGGGAAAACGGGGACACACAAAGACAAGAAGTAGCATTATCTCACTGTCGCGGATGGATGTTTGTTCTTGTTTGACTCTTTTTTCCTTTTCCTGAGTGCTAGAGAAGAGTGGAAAGTGTGTGTGTGTGTGTGTGTGTGTGTGTGTGTGTGTGTGTGTGTGTGTGTGTGTGCGTGTTGGGGTGGGAGTGGAGGAGAGAAATAGAGAGAAAGAAAAACAATGTTTAACTGCATAGGTAGGTGGACATAAAATACCTCCATAAAAAAAATAAGTACTGCCTGCTCAGCCCACACGGACACAGTTTGGACCAGTATTGAAGAGCGGGGTGGGTGGTGCCCAAACCGTGCATCCCAGTAGACAAGTAAGGCCCTGTAGCATACAACAACCCGTCAAACGGACCGAATGGCGCTCACATGACCGTATGCAGTTGCAAGCGCCGTAAAACCTCTACTAAAACAAGGAAAACGGAGGGAAATACTCTATTACTCTATAAAATAACCCTCCCTCAAGGGAAACAGAGGCGGGCTCTCGTGGCCTAGAGGTTAAGGTGTTGGCTTCTCATTCAAAGGTCCCGGGTTCGAATCCGGTTAGCAACCGAAGAATTTTCTTCTCTAAAATTGTCGTCTGCTTTCGTCTCCTCTTTCTACACCCACCCCCTCACCTCTTTTGCCCCCTCATCTGGGCTCCTGACATTTTCTGGAGCCTTTCTGCTGTTACTCCTTGGCTCTTTCTTACTGCTGTCTTTCTGCCACACCCCTGATCTTCTGGTAGGAAAGATTTACACTTAGCCTTATAGGACAAGGGCGAAAAATCTCGGAGGGCCCGAGTACAAGTTGCGCACGTTAAAGATCCCTTGGTGATCTAAAATCGATAAGAGTAGGCTTCGGTCGCCACCCGGGCAAAATTCAAAATTTCCAACCAACTGAAAAAGTTTAATGTGTCCCGCGCGCTCATATGACCTTATGTAGTTAAGAGCGCAGTAAAACACTTAGCAAAAAAAAAAAAAAAAAGAGGGGAACTGACCTCTCGACATATCGCACTACGGCCAAGAGCTTTTAGGTCTCTAATCACTACACAGCAAACTCGACTAATATAATTACTGTGCATTGGTAATGACTGGCCTTAGCAAAGGAGCAAAACAAAACGTTTTCCTGTCCCCTCTGTTAACTAAACAATCTTACTCACTCCC